GGCAACGGATTTCCGAGCGAAGCCGACCAAGCATGCATTTGTTTCTCTTCCCGATGCTACTTTACTGTTTTCATAGCTTAATTAATTTGTTTAATTAGTTAAGAGTTGTGTAATAATTAATTAGCTTGTAAGTTAGTTAATTAGTTGATTTGTATTATTCTTTCGGTCTCTCCCTCGAGAGAGCCAATTGGTGTAATAAGCGTGCGTGTGTGTGATGCATGTCTTCCAACCCCCATTTCTTTCTCCCTTTTACTTAACCGCTTACGATGGTTAGTTTTAGGGCATATTTCATTTAGCATACCTTATGCTCGCATGTTTGCATCCATTCATCTGTACAAAGCAAGATATCAATGCTTGTACAGGCCGATCTCGTCGATCGGGCGAGGCGGGAGTCTTCATTGCACTTCCCTATCTACCCAAGTTCCCGAGTCGAGGCAACTTGTGGTGATGAATCGGACAACCATGCCTTAGGCACGAGTCAGGGCTTTCCTAAATTTCCCAAAATTAAAATATTTTCAGTTTTCCAAAACGATTTGCCGGATTTGGACTCTTTGGTAATTTATCGGTCTTGCATTGCATTTTGCGAGATTAGATTCAGAATCGTGACATTGAGTCCAAACTGTAGTAGCTAGAGAACAAAACGAGATTTTCTCGGGAGCTCTCCGGGCGCGTCTACATGGCCGGGCAATCGGATTGACGCCGACCGGTCGGCTCGGGGGGATCGGTCTGTATACTGAGGTGTTTGGTGAGTGTACTGGGTGTTTCTGGTTTCTGAGTCCTTCCTCTTCTCTCTGGGGGTTGGGTTTTTGGCTATAGGATCTTGTCGGGCGGCTAGGAAATCTTCGGCGTTTATATATTTCTAGGTTTTAGAAAGTAGGGTTGCCATGGAGGTCAGAGGGTTTTTGGAGAGAGAAAAAAGGAAATCAGATGATCGTAGATTGGCCATAAAAGTCGTGAGGATGACCTTGTCATCATTTTTCTACCACCTGTAAGGCCTCAGTGTTGAAGCGGGTGACGAAGTTGCGCAGTGACTCTCCCTCCGTCTGACGGATGTTGAGGAGTTGAGTTGCCAGACGCCGTTGGCGCTGGGCACCAATGAAATGGCTGAAGAAGGAGTCACTCAGGTGCTGAAAGGTAGAGATAGAGTCCGTCGGGAGTTGACTAAACCACAGTCGGGTTGACCCCTTAAGTGTTACAGGGAAAGCCCGACACATGATTTCATCAGGGAATACATGGAGGATCATGAGGGTCCTGTAGGTCTCCAAGTGATCGACTGGGTCCGTTGTACCGTCGAAAGAATTAATCGAAGGCATTTTAAACTTAGGAGGTAGAGGTTTATCCCTGATAGAGGCAACAAAAGGGGAGTTGGCTATGGTAGATGGTTTATGCTGTATGTTCTGCATGACTCCTTGGAGCTGGAGCTTCATGGCTCGGAGTTCCGCATCCCAGAGAGGTATGTTGTCACCACCGGAAGGCAGTGGAGGCTGGATGCTACTGGCCTCTCCTTCAGGGGTTGGTACAAGGACCGATGGATGCGGGGCTCGAGGTAGCAGGTTTATATCTGGGGGAGGGGGTCGCAAGCCTTCTAAGTTAGGTGGATTGGGCTATTGGATAGTATGGCTTGGGGCTCGTTCTTGGTTGGGTGGGATATCTGGAGGTAGTGGAGGAGGCATAGGGAGGTTTCTTTGCCGCATCCCAGAGAGGTATGTTGTCACCACCGGAAGGCAGCGGAGGCTGGATGCTACTGGCCTCTCCTTCAGGGGTTGGTACAAGGACCGATGGATGCAGGGCCCGAGGTAGCAGGTTTATATCTGGGGGAGGGGGTCGCAAGCCTTCCAAGGTAGGTGGATTGGGCTATTGGATAGTATGGCTTGGGGCTCGTTCTTGGTTGGGTGGGATATCTGGAGGTAGTGGAGGAGGCATAGGGAGGTTTCTTTGGAGTAGAGCGTTAATCAGGGCTTGGTTTTGCTCGGCCAGGCGGTTAATGCTGTTGGTGAGCTCGGTGAAATACTGTGGTGGGTTGTTTGGATTGGGAGGGTCGGCTTGGTGGTCGGCAACATTGTGGTGGGAAGCCATGGATTTAGTTGTGACCATCCACCTTCGCAGGTGGTAGGAAAGGGTTATTGGGAAGGGCCTCCGGCGACAATGAGCACAACTGGCGCGCGGAGTCAGATGATTCCCACAGACGGCGCCAACTGATGATACAGCGTGTTCCAGATGGAACGGGTCGGACTAATCCACGCTTCCTAAACCAGTATCCGAATGACCAAGCCCACAGAGGAACCTGCACAAGAGTTCAACGAGGAATGGGGAGTCCTCCAGCGAACCCTCCGACGAGAAAGTTAGAAAGAGAGTTGGAGTATAAAGATAGATTAGAGATAGAAAGCTTAACCTTCTTCTTGTCTTCGATATCTGCTTATATCTTCTGGTAATCATTTCGTTGTCCCTTCCAACCTGGCATCTTAGCCGAAAGTCTATACTCTAGCTTGCCTTGTTCATAGTGAGGCCGTTTTGTTTCGACGGAGAGGGGTTATCGCAATAAATGTTGTAAGGGGCTTCATTAATGACTGATGTGCAGTGCAATAATTTTGCAGGATCTTTTGTCTGCTTATGTGACTTATCCTTCACTTGCCACGTGTCTAGGTTTCATTGGTTCTTGATGCCATATTGAGCTCCAACAACGCTGGGCATTAGTGTTTGAATTATGTATTGAGCCCTAAGTGGTGGGCTATGTCCTTTATGAGTTTACTCATGTCAATGTTTATCTTTAATACATTAAAATTTTATTATGAGAAATTTTCCATTTTTAATTGAATGCAATAGATTTGGGATTTGTGAAATCTGAAATTTCTCAACAAAAAAAAGAAAAAAAAAAAGAAGGAGAATTTTGTTACTTTTATATATATTTTTAGAAGTTTTTATTGGCTCGGAGAACTTTAATATATTTTTGTTATAAATGTTGTACGAAACAATGATGAACCGAACCAAACCAACCGTCCTAGGCAACTGAAATTTCGATTTGAAATTTTTCACGCCGAACTGACCAATACTATATTTTACAATACAAATTAGGGCAAATTACATATACACCCCTCCAGGTTTGGTTAAATTACAGATACCCCCTGAGGTTTCGGAAATTACATCCCGCCCCCTGAGGTTTGTATTTTCATAACAATTTACCCCCTGAGATTTATATTTCATAACAAATTACCCCCTAATTTCTTATGCAAATATAGCATTCAGGGGGGAATTCGTAATTTCTCAAACCTCAGGGGGGTATCTGTAATTTTGTCAAACCTGGAGGGGTGTATATGTAATTTGCCCTAAAAATTAAGAAATAAAACATTCATAGAGCATCTTCATTTAATCCTTATGTTAGATTTTATAATTTATTTTAAAATCTCTTATGAATCCCTCAATTAAAAATCGACAAAATTCATACATAATGTATGGTGGGTTCCGTAACAAAATTAAAAGGCTCAACTCAATACTAATTTTTTTTTTTTAAAAATTATAACCGAATCAATCTATTTGTCCCTCTAGTTACAACCTACATTGGGGGTGTTTAGTGGAGGTTTTTTGAGCCAATTTATGATTTTTGGTTTTTAAAAAATTATTTTAGACTGTTTAGTTAAATTTACTTTAAACAGTTTCTGGTTCTAACAATTTATTTTAAGTCAAAAAAGCTGATTTTGAGAAACTGCTCACCCCTTGTTTCTGATTATCAGCTTCTGCTGTGAACATGTTAATTCACGGTTATATTTTTAGATTTTTTTATTTTTAATTTTTTTAAAAATAGAAAAAGATCTAAATGGACTATAGAATATTATTATTATTTTTTATGAGAAATGTAGACAAATAGTGAATAATAAAAAAATAAAAATTAATTAAAAAAGCTACTTCACAGCTTAGTTAACAAACACTACTCAGCAACTTAAATCTATAATCTAACAGGTACACCAAACATGTTAATAGCTTTTGATTAAAGTCATAATCTATAATATGTTTTAACAGTTACACCAAACGGGGACATTAGTTTTTTTTTTTTTTTTTTTTTTGGAGCTAAATGAATGATTAGCTTATGTTTTTTTTTAAGAGTGTAAATCTGACCCATCGGCCCGCGGTTCATTTGAAACTTGCTCACGGCCAGAGACGAGACCGAGATCTTGGGCTTGGGCCATATGTTTGAAAACTCGGCCTGCCAATCCAAGCCAACCCTATGGCCAGCCCGATTGACGCAATTTTTTGGTCATTTTTTTGGTAATATTTTTTTATTTTATTTTGAAACAAAAATATTAATTAAATGTTATTTATTTAATTTAATGATTATAATATTTCGTTTCATTTTGATATATATAAAATTATTCATTTCATTTTATTTTTTTCCTCGGAAAGACTATGTACGCACCTTATAACTCAGGAAAAAAATGGCATAATTTCATAATTTTTTAGTCATAACTAAATATATGAAACATAACCGAACATCTCATTAATTATAACTAAAATACTATAGTAAAAATATTCTTTTGTTTTTATTCCTCATAAATAATTTATATATAATACATCTATCAATTATTTTTTGCAAAAATAAAGCCTGGCCCGAGTCCAGGCCCACTATTTTATTTTGAGCGGGCTTGGAGCTAAACTTAGATTTTTTTCACGTGGGTCAGCCCAAGCTAAATTTACACCCCTAATTTTATCATTTCTTATCCTCTTATAATTAGGAGTGATAAGCGAACTGACAGTTAATTGTTCAAATTTGATTTGAAAATTTTATTGAGTTTTGAAATTTGTTTAAATTTAGTTTGTTAAACTTTTAAGTCAATCTCAAATGAGTTTTTGTTGAACTGAACACAAGTAATTTATATTTTTATATAATTTTAAATTTATCGAATTGAAGCCAACATAAGCTCGAGCTGTTTATTTGGGGACAAGGCACAGCCCAAGGCTCATGGCCCATAACCTCTTCAATATGGGCTCCCAGTTTATTGCCCAAATGAAGCCCACTAGCCTATAAAATACGAATACAAAAACAAGAAACAAATCTCTCTCTCTACTCTCTCTCTCCGACCCTGAAACAGAGGAAGCCGGCGGGAAGCCATTAAAAGTAGTAAGATGACCTCCAATTCCCTCTCTTAATCTCTCTCTCTAAATCTACACACCTATACATTCATTTGTACCTATGTGTATATATATATCTCACTTCCATGGATTTGTTTTGAACAATATAATTGTAGAATTCATTGGTTCTCATTTGAAAACAATCATTATAACTGATGTTGAATGCCTAGGGTTTTATTCTTTCGAATTTGAGCTTCCCGAAACAACCTTTAATTTCCTAAACAAAACTCGGCATTTTTCTGGATTTGAATTATAGGGTTGGTTCCAGATCTCGTAGTCTCCACCGATCCATCACTTTTACTTACCCTCCTTTTGGTTGACGAGAAAACGCAGGAATCTGATAAATTTTGAGCAAGTTAACTCAACTGAATGGATTTTCTTTTTTTAACCTCTCATGTCCCAAATTATAAAAATGGCAATGTTTAATTTTCTTTGCTTTTTTCTGGATTTTCTCAAAAACTTGACATTTTTATAGTTTAATGGTTTCCTAGTAAATTTGTGAATTGTGATAGTTACTTGAATAGTATTTTGCCAGATTTTTTTTTTTGGGTGATGTAACTTGCATTACTTTTTGAACTTGCTATGATTTTTGAAGTTCTATTATTGTTTTTATGCATGAGCTGACTTATCTTTTGGTGATTGTTTGAAGTTTGTGAGATACAATGTCCATGGTTAATGAGCCACTGTACCCAATAGCTGTTCTGATCAATGAGCTTAAGAATGATGATATTCAACTTCGATTGAATTCAATTCGGAGGCTATCAACGATTGCACGTGCTCTTGGGGAGGAGCGAACACGGAAGGAATTGATTCCATTTCTGAGCGAAAACAATGATGACGATGATGAGGTGCTTCTTGCAATGGCAGAAGAGTTGGGTGTGTTTATTCCATATGTTGGGGGAGTGGAGCATGCAAATGTTTTGCTCCCACCTTTGGAAACCCTTTGCACTGTTGAGGAGACCTGTGTCAGGGACAAAGCCGTTGAGTCATTGTGTAGAATTGGATCTCAGATGAGGGAGAGTGATTTGGTTGACTGGTTTATTCCTCTGGTCAAGGTTAGATTTTGCTTTGGTATTTTGTCTCTTTTTTTGTTTTTTGTTTTTGGTCTCTGCTCTTTTCTACTGTTATTCAGGTTATAAATGCGTTTATGTAATACACTTTATTTTTTTATCTGTATTGTGTACAGCTTACTGTCTTCAAAAGATTATGACACCTCATTAAATTGTTACGCTCGTTATTAACTCAATCCACCTCCCACCCAAAATAAAAAAAACTACATGTACCATTATGGTTCTCTTTATCGCAAATTGTCTACCCAACAGCATGATTCTAGGATGGCTATATTTATAAAAAAAAAATACTTGAAAGAAGATGTTGCCTAGAACGTGGATCGTTCCAGTATGTGGGGCGAGAACGAAAATAGGAACAGGAACATGGTATGCCACATTCTCTAAAATGTAATACAATAGGGGTAGACTTGTATATATTATACTAAATAATTTAAGATACTTCTGCAGTAATTTTCTTTTAACTATTAGGCATCTAATAAAATGTAATGTAATTTTATTTATTTATTTATTTTTCCATTTTGGATGTTTTTGTTTTGTCAAAACTTAACTCACTTTAGATTTTAGTTCATTATATTTGATAGTTTTCCTCGTAAGTTAACATTTAAGGAATATATTGGGAAAAAAAAACTTTTGAGATCGTTTCGGATCACTAAATTTACGGTATGTACCAATACGTAATTCGCTAGGATATTAGTGTTTTATGGTAACACAATGTTTAGGTAACTTGGAATATGAATGTGTCGCTCCTTCAGGCATCATCTGGATTAATTTTAATTTCCGGATTTTCCATGTTCATAAATGTCTTACGGTATTCTGATTTGTATGTGTTATATATTGTTCCTCTTTCCCGAAAAGTATATAGCTTTTCTTATTTGTGTAATTTCCCTTCCATAGAGACTGGCATCAGGTGAATGGTTTACAGCCCGAGTCTCTGCCTGTGGAATGTTTCATATTGCTTACCCTAGTGCCCCAGAGATGTTAAAGACAGAATTGCAGTCAATATACAGCCAGTTGTGTCAAGATGACATGCCTATGGTGAGGAGGTCCGCTGCGACAAACTTGGGGAAGTTTGCTGCAACTGTTGAACCTGCTCATCTCAAGACTGACATCATGTCAATATTTGAGGATCTCACGCAGGATGGTAAGTGAACTTATATTTTAGTTTGCAGCAGTCATAATGTGCTAGTTCATGGTCCAAGTGCAATGAAAATTTAGCAACCTTTGTCTAGGGCATTCCCAGACTCTGGCAGTGGAGGTGATTCTTGCCCATTCTTAGAACATTCAAAGTTTGAATTTTGATTGGAACCATATGCTAATGGTTTGACATGATGGATTAGGACCACCGTGACTGACCATATAACTACAATAAGCAAGCAAACCATTTATAATGCTACCTAGATAAATTGAAATTGGGTGAAGAACTGGGAAGATACACATGACTAGAAAACTTTCTCTTGTTGGCGAGTGGAATGTTGCCAAAGAGGGAGGGAGAGTTGTAGCGAAGAGCTTAGCTGGTGTAGTCTTGACAAAAGGAACACCATCAAATATCCCAGGATGCTCAAAATACATAAAGTTTGTTAGTAGTTATTTGAACTCATGAAATGAAGGTTTTGAATCTATAATGGAAGACTTGAGTGACATTATTAGAATTAAGAAAACAATTAAAAGCTTAACAGAAAATGGAAGATTTAATGCCAGTGGAAATCCATGCTTTCAATAGCATGTAAAAGCAAGTAGATAATATCATAATTTCAAAATTTGTGGAGAAAGGTATTACCTTTGAGGACTAGTGATTAATTTATTTCCTTTGAACCTGCATAAGAATAAAATAATAATAACAATTGTGTGATGGGTCATGCTATGGTACATGCCCCACATTTGGGTGCATTCACTTTCACCACTTTGGGGGATAACCAAAATTATTTTGGGGCATAGCCAAACAGTACGTTGTGCGTAACCCTAAGATTACTTTGGGTCATAATCAAATGATACTTTTGTGCATAATCAAACATCAATTTGGGTCGTAACCACTTTGGGCCCCACTTTGATTTGACCATATATAGACCCACCACCATATTAAGACATTAGCAACACCACATTTGCACAGAACTTGCATATAAAATTGTGTGTATGTACTATAGAATTGTGTTACATGGACTCTTTTCTCTTTCTCAAGGTATCCATCCACCAGATATGACAAAGGTAAGGAGGTGGTGGGATATGTGTCACACTTGTACCAACTTTAAACACTGGGACCCTATAATTTTTTTATGACGTTTAAAGAAGAAGAAACTCACATTTACTAGTAAAGAAACATTTCTAATCTCTCAATCTCTCACATGGATGAGAGATAAGAAATTTATATTTTCTTTAGATTCTATTTAATTTTAAGCACATTTTACATAATTTGAAGTATCTTATCTAAGAATATTTTACAAATTGCAATATATATAAGTGTCCACAATGTGTCCCGAAACCCATATCTCACTTTTGGATATATCTTTCCAATATCCTAAGATATAATGTTATGTTTGACGCTTAAACATGCACTCACACTTGATTCTCATACCCGAGTCCATGTAATAGTATTGAATTAGACTTGTGCAATATACGCCAACAAAGATGATTGGGTTTGGAATGCCTGTGAAATTGTTAAAAAAAATTAAATCCAGTGGGTGAAGTAGGTGATAAATTTTAACACCAATATCCTAAGATAAAAGGTTATGTTTGACGCTTAAACATGCACTCACACTTGATTCTCATACCCGAGTCCATGTAATAGTATTGAATTAGACTTGTGCAATATACGCCAACAAAGATGATTGGGTTTGGAATGCCTGTGAAATTGTTAAAAAAAATTAAATCCATTTGGGAACATGGCTAAACTAGTTGGGTGGACTACGTTTCTAGCTATGTTGCTGGGTCTGTTGAAGGAGAATTGATCTATTGTTGAAATGGGCTTTCAGCTTTCAAGCAATTGAAAACCATTTTAGGTAAAGAAATGTAATATGAAATGGTATATGAAGGGAATAATATGTTTTGGTGCTACCATAAGCTTTTGTTATCCTCAGAAAAGGTAGTGATTCTCAAGATGATGGCCATTTTTTTTGCTCGTACTAGTTTTTCCATTATCTGTTCTTAAGTTTGTTATTTGTCTTTGGTTTCCTAAGCATTGAGTATTGTATTGTATTTTCATTCAGACCAAGATTCTGTTCGCTTGTTAGCTGTTGAGGGCTGTGCTGCTCTTGGAAAATTGTTGGAGCCCCAAGATTGTGTTCAACATATTCTCCCTGTCATTGTCAATTTTTCTCAGGTATAATCATATATTATTTTTCATTTTTCATATATGAAAGTCCTGCTTTTGCTGATTATTGTTACCTAACACATTCATTCTTGTAGATCTTATCATATATGCTTGTAACTACCTGGATAGCAATTACTTTTTGTTATTTACTTTTTCAGGGGCAGGTTTATTTCTACTTTCATCATGTAAAATTTATCATTCTTCTTCTTCCTTGCAATATCTTTTTTTTTTGTGAAAATGTTCAATGGCTGTGAGATATTATCCATATTGTCAGGCCATATGGATGATAAAAGAATATTTTGTAAACGTGGTACTGTACGGTTAGGCTGGTGAAGATCACATAGTTGGCATGGCTTGAGCTTTATCTAAATATGAGAGTAATCGTTTGTAATGAGAAATGATTAATGATAAACAATATTATTGATTATTTTCCTTTCAAAATTTTGTTAGATTACATAAAACTAGAAAATAGGGTATTCTTTATAAGGTACTTTATTGCTCTGCTAAGGTTATCCTCTATGAAGCACGTGTACAAGTATAGGTATGGTATTGGTAGGTCAATTAGGTAAAACCTAAAAAAAGTAGGGTGCGGGCATGAGCACGGCTTGATATGTTCATAAAAAAATATTTATTTTAATTTGGGTTAATGCAAAAATTAGTTAAATAGTTTAGTTAGTGAAGATCCAACCTACAATTTATATCTAATCCCAAAAGTAAGCTACAAACCAAAATTAAAAAACATTATATTAGATAACTTACAAACCAAAGCTTAATTTTAAAATCATGCTAAGCATTAAAAAAAATAAAAAATAAAAAATAAAAGTCTAATAGAACTAATTTCATATCTATATAGAAGAAAATACTATTCTAGCTAAGGTATGACTTGGATATATACTAGGTACCTTTGGGTACAACAAAGATTAGAAAAAAAATTTGGGTGCGAGTGACCCTTGACCCACTCCCTTCTATGGTTTAGCCACCGGTCCGAGTTTTAGGACATTGCTTCATAGGTTATTCTATATAAGGTGGTGTTGTTGTGTGATGGCCTTTTCCTTTCTTTTTATAGATATAAAAAAAAAGTTGTTCGAATTTAGCTCTTTTGCCCCCTTATCCAAACTATTGTAAAGAAGAAAACTAATAGAAGAAATAGAGTGTGTATATATATTTTTAATATAGTCTTAAAAAAGAAAGTGTACCATATTTTTTAAAACATGTGCCCTAACCAAAATTAATGTAATATTTGCATTTTTGGGTAACTATGATATATCTAGTCGTGAGAGAAGATCCAGTTATATGCAATAAAGACCGATGAGTATACTGGAGTGATTTTTTTGAAAGTTGATGGTGTGCTTCAAGGAGATAAGGAAGGAGAAGTTATGGCAGTGCAAGAAGACTTGATTGGGGATAAACACTAGCTAGAGCAATGGATAACAAGGCCTTATGTAGCCAAACTTCCTGTTTGTTGTCAAAGAGCCAATTAAGAATAACTGCAGGGTTTAATTGTTCCAATGCGTTGATCAACAGATTTTCTTTGTAGATAAATTATTTGGTTATAGATATTTGGGAGCTTAGTTTACCTTGAAACACTATTTAGAATGTTTTGTTCCCATGTTTCATCATTTAAATGTCCAATAATTCAAAATGACCCAAATACTATGAAGTTCTATGAATTGCCTTTTATTTCTATAGCCCTGTTTGGTTGCACTTATTTTCAGCTTAAATCAACTTTTGTCTTAAATTGAGCTGTTTTGGTGTGTTTGGTAGAAATTATAGAGATAGATTATAGCTTAAATTAATTTAATTTCAGCTTAAAAGTTGAAGCTGCTTCACCCCTGCTTAAATTTTTCAGCTTATGTGCGCAACTGAAAATGGAGGGGCGTAATGACTTAAATGCCCTTCACAATTTTCAGTTATTACAAGTGTGCCATGTATATAAACCAAAAACACTCATTCTTTCTCTCTCGCACGAACGGGAGAGGCGATTTTCGACAAACCAGGGCGATTTTCGACGAACCAGGGCTCTCTCTCTCTGGTGTTCTCCGATCGCTCACAGTGAGCAATCTGAACCAGAACCTAAACTTTAACCATCGCGATCTCTCTCTTTACGATCGCTCCAAGTGACAATCGCGATCTCTCTCTTCTGCGATCTCTCTTTGCGATCGATTTGAAACCCTAGCGCCGCCGGTGACGATCTCAACCTGTAGCCTGACGGTGACAATCGCGATCTCTTCTCTCTCTTCTGCAATATCTTATCTCTCTCTCTCTCTCTTCTACGATCTCACACTAATTGTGATTGCGGCTAGGGTTTGACGATCGACGGCTGCCGGCAGTGGGATAAAGAGGAAGAGAAAAAGGGGCTGCCGATGGTGGGAGTAGGAGGAGGAGAAGGACGGAGCTGCCGGCAGTGGGATTAGGATTTGTAATTAAAAAAAATTAATAAATTAAAAAATGATTGTAAGGGCAAACTTCCATTAATGAATATGAAGTGCATTATTAATTGGTATTTGTGCAATGAAAATAAAAATTGTTAATGAATAATTACAATTTACTTCCACTAATGAAAATAAATTAAACAAAATTAACAAAGAAAGAAGAGAAGAAAAAAAGAAAGAAAGAAAGAAGAGAAACGAAAATAAGGAGAAAAAGAAAAGAAAATAAAATACAATGAAGAAAAAGAAAAAAATGTATTATAAATGAAATAACAAATTTTATATCTTATAAGGGCAAAAAGGACATTACATAGCAAAAATTATTTTACAGCTTATTTAGCCAAACACTACTCTGCTGATTAAATCTATTATCTCACAGTTACACCAAACAGGTTAACAATTTATGTTTAAAGCTATAATTTATAATCTGTTAAGCTATAATTTATAATCATTTTCCCACAGCTACACCAAACGGCCCCTATGTATGCTTCTGTTATAGAGTAGTTGAATGCTGATTTATTTTCCACCACTTTCAGCAAAAAAGTTTCTAACATAATGCTAAATACAGTGAAAACTCCTTTTATTACAACACAACAATCTTGTAATTAATCAATAATAATACAGTATTTTTAACAAAAGTTTCTAACATAATGCTAAATACAGTGAAAACTCCTTTTATTACTCTAGCTAAGTTAGCTGACTATAACCTCATTCGACATGTTATATTTAATTACTCTAAATAACGTGTCATATGCCTGTTAAAGTGATTATGTCTAAACATGTTTACTTTTTGTGTATGGATTTAATGATGATATATTGTCTAGTCCTAAATGCATGCAATCCATAATTGGCAACTCTAGTATATGAAGCTTTTGAGAGTTGCTAAATTTTTGACTGAGATTGCTGAAAAAATATTTGATTTTCAGAAGCATCTGTTACTGAAGATATGTTCTTAGGCCTTGTTTGGCAAGTGACTTTTTTAGTCAAAAAGTCAAAAAATCACTAAAAAAATCAAAAAGCCAACAACTTATACAAAAAAGTCAAAGATTTCCTTTTCTCTCTACTTTTTGCACATCTTTTCATAAAAAAATCAAAAAGTCATCCCAAACATACTAGTTTTTTTTACATCATATTTTAGCCAAAAAATCAAAAAATTACTAAAAAAGCTTGTTCCCAAACGAGACCTTAGTTGTATATTTATTTTGTCAGCAATGATTCATAGCATTAATTTTGGTGCTCTAATGGAGCACTAATGACATGGCAAGGAGAGAAAAAAAAAAAAAAAAAAAAAAAAAAAAAAAAAAATCAAGACAAAACATCCCATCACAGTGGGTGGAATCGACTGCCAGCTCTAGCTGGCTTTAGAGCTCAAGAATTAGAGCTCCAAAGCATTTTTCTTATTTTGTCTACTGTATTATTCTTAAATAGGATAAGTCTTGGCGTGTCCGCTACATGGTCGCAAATCAGTTATATGAACTTTGTGAAGCTGTGGGGCCTGAACCTACCAGGTATTTATCTACTGTAAATATTTCCTTATGTTGGCTACACACAGCTCTCATTTTGTTTTGTCAGGTTGGCTTCACTTACATTTTATTCTACTCACCATGTGATCATGTACCATCTTGGGCAGTCTTGAAAGAATTTAATAGCTATATATACTTACATTATTGCTCTTTTTTTATCACTGATACATAGTGACATAGACACGTACATATATGTAGTGTTTTGCCTGTTTTCTTTAGATTTGAGTCTTATTTATGTCTTGGTGTTTCAGTAGTGGCTCTCCTTGCTCTTTTTTTTTGAAATGTTTAATTGATGTGATCATATTACTATTTAAGGATGGATTTGGTTCCTGCATATGTGCGCTTACTTCGAGATAACGAAGCTGAAGTACGTATAGCAGCTGCTGGCAAAGTCACCAAGTTTTGCCGGATTCTTAATCCCGAACTTGCTATTCAGCACATTCTTCCCTGTGTAAAGGTGCATATCTCTCCCTCTATCTGTCTTCACAAGCACAAATGATCATGCATACAAAATTTTTCTTGTTTGTTTGTGGACCTACTCCTTACACATTGTGCCATTAATGTCGTGTCTTATCACTTGGCAACAACATTTTGTAGGAATTGTCATCAGATTCTTCTCAGCATGTTCGCTCTGCTTTGGCTTCAGTTATAATGGGAATGGCTCCTATCTTAGGGAAGGTAAGAATTTCCTGTGGAAAGTCTTATTCATTAACTCCGGTTAGGGAGGCATTCATTAGTTTCTAATTTGTGCATGCAAAGGTGAAATATAACGATGCATACTTTGGATTTTTTTAATGGCCATATTGATTAAATTTTGTCTGAGAAACTAATTGTGAGAAACGATTTAAATCTTTTAGTCGTAGTAAATGTGCTGCCAGCTGCAAATAATGGGGAGGGCATTGTTTTACTAAAGCATTAGAAACCTTTCACCAATATGTATGTTTTGTGTCGCTTTATTTTGTACTTGCCTACTTGGTTCCAGGTCAGTCTGACCACTTGTAGGGTTGCTGAAGTGATTAATTAGTGCCTTGACTTGGATGTTGTTGTCATTCTACAAAGATGGTTCAATATTTTATTATTCCTTACTTTTACCCCTTACAAAATGATATTTTGTCCTTCATTGACACTATCTATAGATTTAGCAACATTGAATGTTTGCTATATTACTAAACAGCACTTGGTCCAAACATCTGAGGTTTTTTCCTTTTTTATTTTGATTTTATATGTGCTTGTGACACCCTCTGATCAAAATCTCAGAAGGTTTGTCTTTATCTAACTACATTTTGTAGATTGGCATTTAGTGGATTTAAATTGTTGATATCAGCATCCCCTTTGACTTATATTTGTATGAAACAGGTATGGTTGAGTAAATTTCATCTTGCATCACACTTGCAGTTGTGTGTTTTAATCTGTTCATATTTTGAGTTTGCGGTTTTATTTTATTGCTATAAATATCTGCATTTGTAGGTTGGCATTTATGTTTGAGTGTTATGAAGTTTGTTAAATTTCTCATGTATTCCCCCAAAATTCTTTGTGGTCTATCATTTATTTATTTTTATTTTTTTGTGGGGAACAAAATATTGTGCACACGATTGCTGAAGTGTGGGTGGTTTTGTTTGTGCAATATATTCTGATTTCTTATTTATATAAAAATGCATTTTTGTTAACGCTGCACTGACTGCAGCAAACTTTTGAACTTTGGTTTGGTGGTTAATGCAGGATGCAACAATTGAGCAGCTTCTGCCAATATTCCTTTCCCTTCTGAAAGATGAATTTCCTGATGTACGCCTCAACATTATAAGCAAACTTGATCAAGTCAATCAGGTTTGTGACAATATTAGGTGTTGAACTTTATTTATGCTTTTACATGTTGAGCCATCCGTCATTAATTCATCATGTGCTTTCATTGGCCTAGTTGATTTGCTACCTAAATGCTACTTCTCCGGCAGACTCTTATAAGCACACAAGGTTCTCTTGTCCAAATTGTGATGTCCTTTAGTAAATCTATTTAAAAACCATCTGAAGCTTCATAATTGCTTGCTTACCCCCCAAAAAAAAGAGATTAGAAAACAAAAAAAAAAGACCTGTTTTCTTGGATGGATATTCTCACTGGTTTTGAAATTTTAGTCAACCACTTTGTAGTTGTATGCTTTTATTGCTGCTCCTTCTCTCAGTTCTGTGAGGCACTTGTATTTGGTTGGATGGGGACATGCATTTTCGTTTTCACAGACAGAGATGTGAAAGACAAAAGGTGCACCTGATAGGGCAGGGGCTTGTTAGATGTGAAGTGAACATGTACAATAGATGGGTGTAAGACATCCATTTCCATTTACTTTCATGCATTGCAAATGTTGATTATATGGGAAAATGAACTTGTGTTATTTATCATTCAAATGCTCCTCAAATCATTTGAAAATCTTCTCACAGTAAAAATTCTTTCATTCATGGCTGATTTTACGTCAGTATGATTTAGCAAGGTAATTCACTTTCCAGATGCTTCTGTGCATATTATTTTTATCTTTTTTTTAAATTTTAATTAGTCTAGAGATTCTTGTTAATTGTGCTATGATCTTTGGAAAACCTTTACAGTTTCGTCATGATTATTCTTAATGTTCTTTTTGTTTAATGATTGTCTGATACTATTATAATCTATATCTTATGCGATTCTCGTACATATATGTACACCTTTAAATGATTAGATGTTCATGTCTTCTGATGAATTTACACACACTCTTCTTCTGCAATGCATTTGTAGACTCAATATGGATTTATTTCTTTCCAACCATGTTAAAATAGCTACTATTGCAGGTTATTGGAATTGATCTTCTGTCCCAATCTCTATTGCCGGCTATTGTTGAGCTTGCTGAGGATAGGCATTGGAGGGTCCGGCTTGCGATAATAGAGTACATACCTTTATTGTCAAGTCAGTTGGGTGTAGGATTTTTTGACGATAAACTTGGTGCTCTCTGCATGCAATGGTTACAGGATAAGGTTGGTACTTCTATCTTTTCTGATGTGAGAATATATATCAGACGTTCATTCTTCTTATACTTAGTGTTATAGATGTTGCCTTTTTCAAGATACTAGAGAGGGGACGAACTTTGGTTATATTCACTCACCTCATTGCATTTCTTCTCATGCAATTTTTTCAAACTCTCTTAACAGTTATGTCTAAATATCATACTATGTAACATTGCCAATTGTCAGTAACTTAAAGAAGACAGAACAAACTTATTCTCATATCAAAAATGCTTGTTGGATGAAGTGGGATATTGGCTCTATCTTATAAAATAGATTTGTTTTGTGTCCCAAAGTGATTACCTTTCCAGGAAGTGCCAGTTTACTTTTCTTTGATCATTATTTTGTTGGTAGAGAACTGAATGATAGAGAAGTGATTCAAACAGTGTTACAAAATGAGCATACAAGGATGGATTAAATTCTTAGAGATTGGGACCTTTTAATCGTTTATGAATTTGTTTTTATTTCTTCTTTCAATTTAGTTGATTGCAATGTTTGTAGAAGTATCATAGGTACGTGATTGTGTCAAAACCAATTTAATTATGTGTGTTCTAGTAAATGGAAGGATTTGTTTTTTCCTTGTTACTTAAGGAAGAAATATCATTTCTGGTAAATATAAATAAGGCATCACCCAAGTTTCTCATTCAATCTTTTGCCTATCTTCTACATCAGCCGGGTGATACATAACAAGGAAAAAGGAAACAAGTATTATCATGAAACATGAGTAGCTCACTTCTAACCTTATGAACTTTTCTTTAGCTCATTGTTTTTGGTGTTTGGTGCAGGTTTACTCTATCCGTGATGCTGCTGCTAATAATTTAAAACGCCTTGCAGAAGAATTTGGTCCAGAATGGGCAATGGAGCACATTGTTCCACAGGTTACACTACTTACTCTATATAAGAGATCATAATTTGTTTTGATCTGTCTGCATCATAATCATTATTATCATTATTATTAGTTTTTTGGAACAAAATGCGCATCTTAATCATTGAACACCAAAATTTTGAATTATACTTTCTGTCTGGATCTTCATGGTTTACTTGCTATTTTCTTAATTGGTTTGTGATCTGGGCAGGTTTTGGATATGATTAATAATCCACATTATTTGTATCGGACGGCCATTCTTCGTGCAATTTCTTTACTTGCCCCTGTCATGGGCTCAGAAATCACATGTTCAAAGCTACTGCCTGTGGTGGTTGCTTCATCAAAAGACGGGTACTTGAGTTTCTTTGGGACTGTGTTAACCTAGTTATTCTCTAGTTTTGGGTAGTTTTGAACCGGTGCTAAATTTCTCTCTTTGCAGAGTGCCTAACATTAAGTTCAATGTGGCAAAGGTGTTGCAGTCCCTCATTTCTATCGTTGACCAATCCGTGAGTAACTATTTTTTACCCATTTAAATTGTCTAGTTGAGTACTCGGACACACGGGTTTCAAGTTTGATATATATATTTTTCAGTTCAATTTGTTTGTCTGAATTTTCATCTGGCAATGCAGGTGGTGGAAAAGACAATCCGTCCATGCTTGGTTGAACTCGCTGAGGATCCAGATGTCGATGTTCGCTTCTTCGCGAACCAAGCACTCGAGTCAATTGATCATGTCATGATGTCTAGCTAAGCAGGTGAATTTCAATTCTAATCCACCTGTTGCTGTGGATTAGAAGACCTTTCTTGCCAGGGTGGTTCCTATTCTTTATATCTTTCTTGATGCTTTGAGTGGCACTACTATGTGACTAACCTGTTAGGGTCATTTGTGGCTGCTGAATTTATATGCGTTATTTTTTTTAGTACCCTTGGGATTGAATTTTTTATTTTTCCGTTTTCCGTAAACAGTTTTGTTATTTGTGTAGATGCTTATTTAAAAAGTGGAAAAGAAATTCTTTTTGCTCACTGATTAAGAGGAGCCTCACATTACTTCGTTGGGTTTGTTTAAAGATTTTTTTTGCTTGGATCATTTGATTCATCACTCATTATGCACATCAGACATTCATTTTTGTTGCGACCCAGACTTGAAAAAGTACAGTGTTCAAAATGTATTGTGTCGGGTGTTTGGATGCGGGGATAGGATTAGGCAGATTGAAAGTATGATTACTCTGTAGGTAGATTTCATTTTTTATCACATTGCATTAAGTTGGATTAGTTCTGGTGGTAAATAGGTTCAGTATCAATAATATGCAGAACCTCAACAATTTTTTTGAGAAAACTGTCTTTTTTTTCTTTTTATATCCGACTTTATTCATTACCAATCAATCCATGACCTCAAGCTTCTTTGCAACTCCTAATTTTTATTTTTTATTTATTTGGATCAGTAAAAGTTAGTGTTAATTTTATCAATGTGACCTAAAGAGCGGGAAATTCTAACATGGTAATATGGTAATGGTAGTTTTTTTTATTTTAACCAGACATGGTAATGGTAGCTTATTCGGTCAAGTCTTCATTCCGGGTCTTTTTAATTTGTTTCATTCATCTGAGTATGAGAGGTTTGTCTCGTATTTGTTTTATAAGTCGTCCAAATTTGATTTATATATTCAAAATATTATACTCATGACTGATTTTGAATTGAATGCTCTAAATTCTGTTATTTGTGAATGGCATTTGGTGATTTAAGTGCGCCAGTATTGATCAATAATATGAAATTGTTAATTGGGTGTGTGGGAGAGGTAGATTCTTCTCCAATTTCTTAGGGATGCAATTTGGAGACCCGTCTTAAGTTTAGTTCAAATATTTTTAGAGTTTAGGTAATATATTTTAAAATTCGGCATAGATTTGGACAAAAATATAAAAATTTAAATGAAATTTGAGTGAGTTTGGACAAAGATACTAGACAATTCGAAGTTTAAATTATATATATAATAAATATACACATAAATTATTAGCCATTGAATAATGTTAAAATAATTTAGATGACCAGATCATATTCAATATATATACATAAGTAACTCAACATAATTTTTCAATTTTTTCCACACTCAAAAAATATAGAGACTACCATAGCAGTACATCAAGTCTTCAATTCTCATCTCTATCTCTCTCACATTATATAAATTATTTATTTTAATGTTAATAGAGTTTACTTTTAATACATTAATTAACCTAGTTGTCAAAAAAAAAAAAAAAAAAAAACTTAAATTTATATACAATTTGTGAAATTTGAACAATTCTGACCTACCTTGGGTTAGGCTTGTACAGAAAATTTTAGGTTTCAATTTGGACTTAGGCAGGCTTAGATAAATCTTATTACAACTTGAGTTGGACTTAAATAACCTCTCAATCTACCTGAATTGCACCTCTTTCTATTTATTTGTTCCAAGAATTTTTTATTTTTTATTTACTGGTGATGACAATTTTTCCTCTCCACTCAACCCTTATATCTCTCCTATTTCACATTTATTAAGAGTGACTTTGGACACAAGGACCAAAAAAAAAAAAAATTTTGTTTTGCTCTAATTTTATGAATTTAATCATCTGAAAATTGAGTTTTTTATTTTTCATATTTTTTTATTTTTAATGAATTTTTTAAATTTTTTTTTACATTTTAAATGCACCTAACCTAGATGTACTTAAAAATTAAAATATTAGCAAAAATATTTTTAAAAAATTAATAAATACACAAGAATATGAAAATATATTAATTTTTTATTTTTTGCATTTTTGGTATTTTTTTTTAAAAGATTTTTTCACAAATATTATATTTGTTAATTGTATTTATATTAAATATACTTAAAAAGTAAAAAAAAAATTTGTTTAAAATGTTAAAAAAATTTACTAAAAATTAAAAAAAATGAAAAATAAAAAATAATTTTTTTAAAAATAAATTCAAAAAATTGAAAGTAATGTTACACTGTGAACGTGTGTACAGTACAGGCTTTCATATGACAATAATAAACCTTTGAAAGAGAGAGTTGTCAAATCTGAGAAGTCTGACAATAATTTCGAGTCTTCGGCTCTGAAGCTGAACTGGGGCTTCTCCTTGCGAGTCCGGATCCTTTCTTTACAACTCCTTTTTACAAGGTTAAGATTAACTGTTGTAACATCCAACGGTCATAAAAAAAAATAAAAAAAAAATAAAGAAATTGAAATCAACCGTTGAATGTTGCAACGGCTATCTCAGCCGTTGCAAGAAGGAGTTGCAAGGAGGGGATCCCAACTCTTCTTGTTGCATGGAGCATTGATGTAGATAGTGAACAGCTCTAAGAGACCCATCCGAATCTTCTTGGAAGATCCATTCTAATCCGGAACTCACTATCAATCCCTTCTCTATTTCTTAAAACAAACACAATATTAATGGGTCTCACTTCACTACCAATCTCAATCTCACCTCTAACTCTTCAAACAAACGGAGCCTAAGAGTTGTAAAAATGCTATGGAGTCTGTCTGAAAAATTGTTTTGAATTTTGTTCCAAAATATGCGGCGTAAAATTAAAGTTAATAGAACATGGGTTATACTACTCACAATAAAAATAAATTATTAGTTAGGATAAATTCAGAAGATAATTCTTATACTTTGATTATTGTGTCATTTTAGTCCATGTAATTTCATTTAACTTAATTATGATCATAAATTTATAACTTTATCTCAATTTGATTTAATTAATTATAATTTCTAACATTTTTTATGAAAAATATGCAAAAAAAAGTGTAATGTGTCATATTTTTAAGAGTAAAATTGTAAACTTACTCAGCTCAGTGAATTAACCTCAATCAATTTAGTAATGATTTTCCTTTAAAAACACTAATAATATTATCAACTGGACTAAATTGATACAAAATCTAAAATTAAGAATCAAAATTAAATCAATTAAAAATCAAAAAATCAAAATAACACAAGAAATAAAATATAAAACTTATTGTGTAATTTGCCAATATAATTAGGTAAATATAGTTCAGTAGAAATGAGGCATGAGAATGGCAAGTTGAGCTGCCATGACTCCACGTGAAACTGTTTGGTTTGTCTTGTGCTTTTTGAATGGAGGTTAGGAAACCCAATGCTATGATATACTTCCTCTAAATTTAAAGGTTGAATGGGAAATAAATAAAGGATTGTAAAAAATAGAGGTATAATAGGTCAGCACTTTGGTGTAATTAAAAATTGTAGAACATTACTTATACTAGAGCATAGAATCTGCCTGTACATTCATGTACGGGGAGCAAATATTTCGGCAAGCCCGTATTCCTTTTTTCCGAGCTCCGTTTCTGTCCGATCACCTACAAGCAAGTAACGGTGAGCTACCCGGCAGTGTGTGGCCGGAAAACCCCTCCGACGGTCAAGTTAGCACACACCTTAGGATAAAGAGAAAGAGAGAGGAGTGGTAGAGTGTAGGAATTCCTTACAGAATGTTCGTCTCGCGTATGGGGGGCGCAGACATGCTTATATACCCTCTGCGCCCCATATCCACTCCCAGTCATCTCTTGACACGTGGCTCCGCTATCCCATTCGTCAGCGTAAACCTTGTTGAACATCACCTAATCTCAACTGCCTACCTTCTCAGCTGGAGCTCGGCAGCCGAGCTGCTCTATCCACGGCCGTGCTGTGCTTCATACCCAAGCACTTCACTGGCTAAGCCCAAGGAGGACCGGGCTAGGCGGCATCTCAGCAAAGCCGAGTCCGGGGCACCTCCTGTGGCTGCTGATCAAACGATTACCTCGGCTGACCACGCCTTTCCGGGCGCCGGTCACTCAGCTTGACTGGCTCCACCATCGCCTGATCAAGTAGCTCCGTCCAACCGAGCACTGCCTTGCCGAGCAACTTCTTTACGGTCTGGGGCGGCGCATACTTGGCCCAACTCCTGCCCGGCCCAACTCCTGGCAGCCCACCTCCGGACGGATCGCCGGTCATCTCGGCCCCATGCACCATTAGGCTCTCAACCTGCTCGGCCGTTACCTCGGCCCAATTCCATATCATAAATCTCCCTCTCAATTCATATTTTTATTGTGTAATTCTCCAAGTTTAAAACATTCATTAAATGTTTTTTTTGAATTTGAATGCACTCCTAAAAAGTCAAGCTGCGAGAAATGTGTCACTTTGTGGTGTTAATTATAATATTTTGTGGTAGAAAATTATGAAGGGACAAATATATGGTGTAATTGTCAAAGTAAAAGTTACAAATAAATCATTGTAGTGATGGTATCAGTGATATGATATAAAATGTTACAAATTATTTGTAATGAGAAATGTTGGGAAATGTTGTAGTATTTATTGTGAAACATTGTAAATTATATTACATATGTTATGAGAGGATGAATATAATATGTCTCTTTTTTAAGAGTTTGTGAGGGTTTAAAAATGTGCACCGTAACAATTCTCTAACTATTAATCATAATCCATTCTATTTATTCAATGAAGAGGATCTGGATGCAAGGGTTGGTTTATTCAACTCAACTATTGGTTACTAAAAATTATGAGGCAAAAGATTGCCCTCTTATAATAATATTTTAGTCTTTTTGCTTAAGTTGTGTTAAAGTTCTTGTCGGTGCACTTAGTCCACAAGTCACAAAAAGATTATATGTTTATTTCCAAACAACAAAAGGTTATGTGTACATGTGCTAAATTATAAAAAATAAAAAATAAAATTTTGAAATTTATTTAAAATTTTAATTCAATAAGTAGTGCCTAAAATCACAATGCAAAGTCTTGACAGAAGCAATAGCAGTGGGGGTTGAGGCTCCTTTGTTACTGAGACCGGTGGCTCCGTTTCATGCACCCCCAACTACCATTAATTTATTATCTATTTTACTATAAATAGAAAAGCCCCAACTCAACATTCATATTCATCATAGACTTCCATTCCATGCATGCACGTCTTCACTAAGCTCTCTCTCTCTCTAGATCTACTCCTTTCAATGCCATCTTCAAGTGTGCCGCTAGAAATATATATGGAAGAAAAACAATGTGAAGAAGAAGAACTGAATTACATTTTCTATGAAACCTTGGTAAGCTTTCCCATGATATCAATGATGTTTTTTATACGAATTTTAACAGTTTAAAAAAATTGATACTATCTCTTATCTTTCATGGTTTTATTAAATGGACGGATCAGTATTGGTTGATGTATAACGGTATCAAGAGTATTGAGAAATCGTAGTAAAAAACAAACAAACCAACCATATTGACTAAGAATTATATACCGTATCAATTCTAAATCAACTTGTATGCATCTAGACTATTATAGACACAAATAATAACATGCATAAATTCCATAAATAGTAATAGTATGTAAATATAAACAAACATGAATTTAATGTAAGTTAGTATTTATATAGGCATCTACATGCATAGGATCATTAGTCGTGTTATATGTGTTTCAAAATGATAGTATCTATAATTTTCTCACTCATTTTGTGAAAGACTATAAAACAAAAATATGAGTGTATAATGTTGATAGTGAAGCATAATCATTTCTCTATCTATCTATGTTTATATTGTTTGGACTAGCTTTTGAAAATTATTTTTTAAGTTTTTTTGTGTTTTCGTATTTTTTTTTTTTATATTCAGTGGATTTTTTAAAAATATTTTAATCAATTTTTTTTCTTATTTTCTAGATACACCTAACGTAGATATACTTAAAAAATAAAATATTTATGAAGAAATGTATAAAAAAATTACTAAATAAAAAAAATACGAAAATTTAGTAATTTTTTGTATTTAGTAAAAAAAAAATTATATTTCTTTACAAATATAATATTTTTAAAGTGCATCTAAATTAAGTGAATCTAAAAGGAAAAAAATTAATTGAAATATTAAAAAATTCACTAAAAACTAAAAACATGAAAAACAAAATTTGAGTCTCAAAACCAACGGTGAGGGAAATGACTTTTATATAACAGTTGGTAAATTTTGAAGCACACATTTGTAGTTATGCATCCCCGTTATCATGGCCTACAATTTTCCATCTCATTTCAGAACATAATATACTTTGATCTAAAAAAATATGCATTATGTGTTGTAGGTGACCTTTTAATTGTACTATAATTAATGTAATCTCTAAAATACAAAATATATCTAATTCTCCAAACTTGACGATGTCCAAATTAATGACGGAATTAAAGGTAAATAACTTCAAGGTATTTTGGACATCACTATCACTGATTTTGTCATTAAGTTTGGACGTCATCGGGTTTGGGGAGAAAATAATGACTCATTTTGCATTTTAAGGATCAAATTCAATTGAAAAATTGTGAGATTAAAAGGACACAAAAGGCGTATTTCATAAACAAAAACTACATTAACCATTTTTTATTATTATTTCAAAAACTATCAACTAATTATTTGAAATCCTTGATACTAAGGATTATTATTTTTACAAAGATATCATCCCTTTAGTTTCTCAATTTATCTATAATAACTAACTCCAATATATATTTATAAAATTTAATTTCAAGTTTTTCATTTGCAGTCCATCTATCTAAACAAAGTCTAAGAAATTTTGGTTTTCAATTTTTGCAGGAGGAAGCTTGTGAATCCATGTGGAACACTCATTTGAGCAAGAAAATTCAAGCCACTAAAGTTACAAAGGAACGAGAATAACTAACAATCACACAACCTCGACCTCGGACCTTCATCCTTCATGGAGGTTGGGGGTTGATTTTTTTCCTTACTACATTCACCTCTCTTTGCTTGTGAGAGAATTTAGTTCGTTGTCCAATAATATAGATTATGTATTTACATGGTTCCCAAAAAAAAAATAATGGACAAATCACAAAATATTGTCCAATAAAAGAGACTATATGCTTACATGATTCAGGGAAAAAAAAATTTGATGGACAAATCACAAAAGGGGCAATTTCATATCAGAGGATGTTTAGAAATATTTTCCAATTAATGATAAACTTTATCATGAATTTGTAAATAGCTTTTGAACATACCCCTGAGATGTAAATTCTCCATCACAAAACACCATTAATCAGGCACACAATCACATGTGTTTCAAACCTATGTGATAATTTCTGCTCGGACTGTGAGTGAATTTTCATAGGCTAGATTTGGTTTGTGTGTCTAGTAACAAAATGCTTACTTAGCAACAAAAAAAAATAATAATAATCTAAGGATAATAATCGAAAGAGAATATTTTTAACATGGAGAATACCATGCCCTTAAATAATCAACAATTTAATGTATGAAATATCTTGAGATAAATCAACGGGGTTAATCATTGGCTCAAATTTTTGTATCATAATCACAGTTGTTCAAGAGTTCGATTCTTCATACTTGTTGGGTTTTATTTCCCTTATATTTATTTGTAATTATGACTTGTGTTGTATTTGATCTTCAATGTAATTGTTGATTCATCAAACTTTATTGTAACATAAAACATTGTAATAAAAAAAAAAAATTGTGATATAGTTTGAATGGATGAAAAGAATATGTTGAAAATGAACTCAAGGCATTTGGAGCGATCAATTACAAAACTACGGTGGATAATTGAATACCATATACATATGATCAATCAACAAATTTGTATTGTGTTCATATACTTTGACAATATGTGAACAAAATTACATTGTGATCCACATACATAATCGATTTTGATACAGAGATTTTTCTATGCATTTGTTGTTGCCTTTGCATTAGTATAGAAATTTTTTATTAAATAAAAATAGATAAAAATTACTATTTTGACGTGATAATAAACATGAAAACATAGTAACATATCATAAACTAGCATATGAACCCGTGTGATGCACGCACTAAATAAATAATTAAAAATAATTTTAAAATTAAATAATAATATAAAATTAATTTAAAAAGTATATAAAAAAAAATTTAGAATGAATTAAATTCTAACCATTTTATTAGAATATATATTGCAGTTGTTATGTCATTAGTTGTATATTTTAAGTTCACAATAAAAAATAGATGTCATAATTTAATTGGTAAAGTTGAAAAAAATAAAATAATATATATATATATATATTTGATTAATTTGAATCCTTACTAAATTAAATCATAATTAGTATCATGAAATTTCCTAATTGAAAGAATTTTTATTAATGTAAAAGGCAGGGCAAAACCAAAGTGACTTACTTGGGCTAATGATATTTTTTAATAATTCATTAATTTTTTTTTATACATTTTAACTAATTCATTATTCATTTGAATAGGTCGAGATTTAGTGGGTATTTGTTTTTCATTAAAGGTTTTAATATAAGGTAATGTGACTACATATTTTTTCTTATGCCAGAAAGCACTAGGTAAAGTTGAATAAACAATAGATTCTAATTTTTGATTGAATTGTTTAATTTTGGATTGTAAAGTAGGATTAGTTAATTGAGTTTCAATTTTTTTTTTATATTTAACTTCTTCTTTAAGAAATTTAAGTTGTTTAGTTAATCGATTAATAGATTGAGATATTGAACATTCTTTTAATTGATTTAATTCTCTAACTTCAGGAGGAGAGAGAAATCTAAAGGTGACTTTTTGACCAAATGCATGAGAAGTTATTACATTATTAGCAGTGGTAAATGGATATAACAAAAATATAAAAGGAGTTCCTAAAGTAACTTTATCGATTAAGTTTTTGACTAAAACAAAGGATGTTTTAAAACAAACATTATCTTGACAGATATGAACTTTGGGTAATTTACATTGGATATGCATTTGACTACCATTAGCAGAACTTAATTGTTCAGTAGTTTTATGAAAATGTTTAGTAGGGATTAAACCTTAATCCTTCTTGAATACAGTTTAAATCAACACCAGTATCAATTAAGGCTATAACTTCTATTTCAAATTCATTAACAATGAGATTACCTTTTGAATGCCATTTTTGAATATTAATTCGAGTGATTAAATTTATGCACATTCTTAATCCTTCTTTTTAATAGTACTGATTATATCACCATAAGTTAAGTTATTATATTCAATAATACCAATAGGTTGACTAAGGACATCTCTAATCTTATGAGCAAAAGACTAGGTAGCCCATTAATAAATTTTTCTTTCCAAAAAGATTTAGTACAATCATCTCTAAGCATGACTCTAGAGGTAAAGACATCTTTGTACCATCTAAAATGGACTGTTGGGCCAATGTAGCAGGCTCATCATCAGAGGGTTCATTTTTTAATTGGGCCTAGGCCTGATCCATCAGGAGACAGGCCATCTGGAGCAGTTGATCACTGGATGATCCTGGTTTAACCTTGTGCTTTGACTGGGTTGACTTGGATTTATCAGATTTGGGCTTTGACTGGACTGGCTGGACTGCCTTTGACTTGGATGACTTGGGCTTGGAAGAACTAGATGGTGGAGCATCAGGGCTTTCAAGATTGACTGGAGGAAGTTGGCTTCCTTGAATGACTGAAGCAGTTGGGTTTTGCTGAGCCTTGACCATTGCAGGAGTTGGAGCATGAACATTAATGAGGAATTCAAGTTGAACTTGTTCAATAATGCGGGGAACCTTGAATAGATCCCGCCATTTAAAAAAATGTTGACGAGTGACTATGTTAGTATGTTCAATTCCATATTACCATTTAAATATCCAGGAAACTTTGTATTTGGACATAAAAATGAGCAACTATGGAAATTGTTGTTGATGTTGACTACGTTTGTAAACAGTTGAAAAATAATTGACTTGTCCATCAATTCTGGTGGAATGATCTCAGGTATTGCACCATGAAGAGACCACAATCAGAGGAACCATGTAGGAATGGCTGATTTGAATTGGTGATCAAACTGGAAAAATCAGGAGTGACTGTATGACTCATTTTGATAGAGAAACACTTTAAACCAAGCATCCATATAGTCATAATAACTATATTGGATAGAATGACCAGGTAAATCTTGAAAAAGGTAATGAGTACCCCATTCATCAAGAGATACAATTTTGTGAATATAAAGTGAATGATAAACAATTTTATTAGGGCAGACTTTATCACGAATTGGTTTAACAAGAATTGACCAGTGGTGAAACAAGATATCCTTGTAAAAGGATATTGTCTTATCAGGATGGAGAGGAACAAAATGTCATCCTGGAGGGAAGTATTTCTGGGTTAAATCAAGAACATCATGGATGTTCTTATGAACAGGTTCTTTGAAGAACAGGTTGACTGAGTAAAATTGAATATAGTTTGATTTAGCAGTTTTGACTGGATTAGGTGGATATGGAGTAAGTGTTTGACTAGAAGAAGCAAAAGGATCTGAAGCAAGAGCAGATGTGTAACTAGGTTTAGGAATGTTACCAAGAACTTGGTAACGGTTGACCATTTCAATAGGAGGAACAACAAGAGGTTGACTAGATGAATAGTATGGTTGACTATTGGGAACCAAAGCTTTGGAGGAAGGCCTTGGCCAAGACATCTGTTAAATAGAAACAAAGATTAGCATCCACTAAGGAGGTCTAAATAAGCTTGATGATAATCCAAACAGTTGTAATAATGAGCAAGTAAATGGCGACGACTTTGAATCTGATGAAATTGAATGTATCGAGCACATTGTGTAATTTTTCTGGCTAATTTGAGACGAGCAATGCGGTAAGTAGTTTGGTGAATAAGATCTTTGTAATAAGTGACTTGGGATTTAAGGTAAGAGATAAAAGGAGTGGCCATCCCTATCCCCCCTGTAAAAATTCTCGGGTAAGGAAATCAGGAATAGAATTTTGACTACCAGGTATATATTCAATATCAAAATCAAAGATACTTGAAATAGATTGCCAGCGGGCAAAAATCAGCTTACTAGCAATATTTGAACATCTTTTTCTAAAATATATTTAGCACTTTTACAATCAACACGTAGTAAAAAGGTTTGATTTAAAATATCATCTTGAAATTTATTAATACATAAAACAATAGATAAAAGTTCTTTTTTAATAGTACTATAATTTTGTTGTGTTTTATTCTAGACGCCAGAATGAAAACGAACAATTTGTTCAGATGACTTGAGGGTAAGCTTTTGAAGAAGAATACCACCAAAACCAATATCAAAAGCATCAGTTTGAATAATTTTGAAAGAATCTTTAGTAGGAATACCAAGACAAGGCAAAGTCTTGCAATTTTTTGACTTGTTGAATAATAGCAGTATGAGTAGAAGACCAAGGAGGAGGATTATCTTTCAACCGATCAAAAGGTGGTTGACTAGTTTTCCTAAGGTCTTTGTAGAATTCAGCAATGTAATTAAATGATCCTAAGAATCTTTGTAACTGAGTTTTATTAAGAATTTCATCAGGGAATTTGGTAGCAAATTCAATTGATCGACTAATGGGCAGAATTGTACTCTAGTAAATATCATAACCTAAAAACCTAACTTTAGTTTGGAATAGTTTAATCTTAGGAGCAGAAATGACGAGACCATTATGTTTAATAATTTGGAAGAAGGCATGGAGATATTTCCAGTGTTCTTCTAATGACTTAGAGAAGATAGGATGTCATCAATGTAAATAATGGAGAAATGACTAAAAGGGTTGAATATGTCATTCATAATATGCTGGAATTCACTAGGAGCATTTTTTAATCCAAAGGACATGACATTCCATTCATAATGACCAAAGGGAGTAGTGAAAGCAGTTTTATATCTATCTTTAGGATGAATTTGGATTTGCCAAAATTCACTTTTTAAATCAAATTTACTAAACATGACAGCTTGACTAAGTTTTTTAATTAAATCTTTTTATTAGGGATTGGATATCGGATCCATTCGAGAACTTTGTTTAATGGTTTATAATAGATGACGAGATGAGGGACACCACGTTCTAATTCAGCATTTTTATTAACATAAAAGGCAGGACAAGACCAAGGTGACTTACTTGGACTAATGATCTTATTTTTTAATAATTCATTAATTTTTTTTTTTACACATTTCAACTAATTCATTATTCATTTGAAATTGAATTACAATTGTTTATTGGAAGTAACACTGGGT